GCATATTCCAAGCATATTCCTAACATATCTGTGAACACATCTGAGTTCTTTTCTTACAGAGGTTTAATTTGCTAATTTCATGGCTCTTCCCTTTACCTGCTTATTTCTCACCTCTCTAGAGACTCACTCTGGCTTAAAAATTTGAGTCAGCTTTAGTGTTTCTATTTACTATACCTGTCTTTCCCAGTTTAGTTACTTATCTTTTGTCTCCTGTTTCTGCTGCTGTTTGGCCAACCCTCCATTTGCTCTGGTTTGAAGATATGCAAAGATATGCAGTCTTAAAATTAGCCTATTGACCTGAGCACTCGCTCTTGCGCTCGCTTGCGGTCTCTCGCTCTCTCTCTCTCTCTCTGTCCCTTTTCTCTCCCCTCCCTTCTCTCAAAATCCATGTCATTATTTGTATACTGCCGTCATACTGAATTCCTACTTGATTCTAGTAACATCAGTACCCTGGTCAAATATTATATTAAACAATACTCTTTAACCACCAAGTACATTAGGAAGTCCCTGGGTGGACAGTGTCTTTCAACTTGCCTTTAGGGCAAGTAAGAGAAACAGATGCCACTATACCTCTTATTCATCAGTATTCTCAAATGAAATGGAGGGAGAGAGGGAGGGACAGAGAAAGGAAGAGAGGGAGGAAGAAAGGTGGGTGTGTACAGAGGCTAGAGATCAACATTAGATGTCTTCCTCAGGAATTTCCCCACATATTTCGGCTAGACTTGCTGACCAGTGAGCTCCAGGACCCCTAGTGCTGGGGTTAAAGGTTAACATGGGTGCTGGGAACCTGCTAATGCTGAGTTAGAGGTTTACATGGGTGCTGGAAATTCGAAATCAGACCTTCAAGCTTGTGTGGCAAGTATTGTATCAATTGAGCCGTCCCCAAGTGCCCAAATGGATTACCTTTTGCTCACACTAGCTCTTCAACCTGGAACATCTTCTAACCTCTCCTATTTCTTCCCTTCCTCTGTTCCTGGTCCCCGCCCCTCCTCCCATCTATCTACCTAATTTGTCTTATGCCACTTTCTCCACCAGCCTTCTTGATTTCCCAAGCCTAGAAAAATCCTACTCCATCACAAACTGCCTTTGAATTTGCTAACACTTGACATATCTTCTGGTAACCAATCATTTCTGTGTGTTCTCTTTTTCCTGAAGGCTAGGTCATGTTATCTGTCTTTGTGTCTACTTTGATATCTTTAACTAGAACACTATTAACGTGTGACCCAAGTGAGATAATATATTTGGTGAGCTGAATGAATGAAAAAATTTAAGCATTTGTAATATTAGCATAGAGGTGAACGTGTTGAAATGTTATAGCACAAAAGCCAAATCAATCTTAACATACACAGATATTTGTTACGACACTGTTATTTTCAAAACTGTTCATAGTTACCTACTAAAAGAAATAGAAAAAAATCCTTACATGTATTGTGATTATCTTTTTCCCCCCCTCTTAAAGTACCTAAATGAACCAAACTACGAGAACCTGATTGCTATTCAGATTGGAATAATGGAGCAAACAATTAATGTTATAGATAAGGTCAGTCTCAAGCATATCAATCATTATAATGCCAACAGTTGTGAATCATGTGGGCAAGGTAATAAACTCAGATAGAAGCTAAAGAAACTTGAAATTTACTGATGTTCATGACAATCAGGGGTACCCGAATGTTGTCTTTGCAACCATAGCCAGTGATAGACTATAGCATTTCTCTGGATATTAGGATTAGTATCTAGGAATTCATGTGGATTTGCTTTTACATTAGTTAAACCTGAGCCACATAAGTACTTATAGTTTTCCTGGTACTTTGAACTTTTCCTCTTTGTATAACTGAATAACAAAATCAGTTTTACTACATAGCATGTAAGATGGAAGCAAAGGTTTTAAAATGTTCATTTTTAAGACCATACAAAATCTTTCTAAAGTGTAGTATTAACATTCTGTCTTTTAACAAAAAAATTGAGTGTCTACTATGGACAGACCATAAAACAGGCACTAGGGATACAGTACGTTATATTAGTGATGATAAAATATTTTAAAGGTACAAATGTTTAAAACTTTTTCAAAATTGTTTTTGGGGTTTTGTGGGAACAAAAATTTCAGACTCACAAGAAGAATGTACAAAACTGCAAAAAATTACTCAAAAAACTGGGACGATACAGTAATCAGAAAGATATAGCAAATTACACACTGAGCTGCAATCTACGGGAAGAGCTGGTGGCTGTCTCCGAGAGACAAGACATTTGCAATGAAATTGGTGAGCGCTCTTTCCTTCAATCAACTAAAGGTAATTGGTACTGGTATTCTAACCATTATCAGTTATCTGAACAACCATCAAAACACTACCAGCATCTCTTCCACAAAATGATCTTAGGTGTTGCTTCTGTATTCAAATAATTCAACTAATTCCTTTCTCCGTCTCTGGACTAGGGTCTACGCTGACTTGTGAAAAGATTGCAAAAGAACGATATGAGAACCTACTGAAAAAGCAGAAGCTGACCAGCATTTCCAAACAGCAAGCTGAGCAGATTTCAATACTGCAGGCTGAAGTCGAAAGATTAAGGATGAAAACATTCCCTGCTCTTATTCCGATGTAGAACACCAGCAAGAGCAGAAGGCAAACTACTTACCCCAAAATAGTGTCACTTGAAGAAAAGCGACTTCCCTTTCTCTTGTATGGAATTTAAGTAGGTCACCTCTTAGCTGCACATTTTTAATAATAAATTAAGTTTAGGTTAATCAGTATACAACTATTTGTCCGGTCCTACATAAATAAATGAGTAAAATACTGCAAAGTGTCAATTATATTCATTAAAGAACAGTGTTTTTCAGCCAGGAAACACTCAAGATTTATTTTGTTCAATTAAAATTACCAGAATTTTGGAGGCTTTACCATTGAAACCAAAGAAAACCATCATTTTTCCCAAGACTTAAGTCATTTGTAAATGCTGTTTGGAAACATAGTCTTCCTTACCTATTGTAACAGAATTAACAGGGTTCAGTAAACAAGGGCTCATTGCTTTGAAATAGTTCATTCTACTCATGTAGCCAATACTAATTCTTTAGTAAGACTCCCTGGCAAACAAAAATCTGTTCACCCTTCCACAGCTTGTGGTCTGCTGCACTCCAAGGTGGCCTCATCAGGATCATGTATCGTCGTCTCCAAATGCGGTCTACGCCCCACTTTCCTGAAATTTGAAATCTAAATTTAAGCTTAATACATAACACCATATCTAATACAAACTAGAACAGATAAAGCAAAAGAACAACCAAAAAATCTTTCATTTAGAGGATACTCCTGTAATCCCAAGGACTGAGAGTTGGCTGCCAGCCTGGGCTAAATGAGACTCTACCTCAAATAATAAAAATTTCCACTTTGTTTTGTCCTATTCCAGTGTATTAGTCTTTATCTTCTATTTTATTATTTTCCCTAGAAGCATGCTTTAGTCTCCTAATGAGAGACAGAAAGGGGGTGGATCTGGATGGGAGAGGAGGCAGGGAAGAACTGGGAGAAGAGGGAAGAGAAACCGTAATCAGAATATATTATATGAGGAAAAAAAGTATTTTCAATAAAAGGGCAAAAAAAATTCAAAACTACTTTTTATCACAGATGTTAAGTAGAAAAAAAACTTCCACTTAGAAAAAACCCTCAACATGGTTTAATTGATTACCTCAATAGTGCTCAGTGCTTTCTGGGCATGGTAAGGTGAGCAGCAGAGCCAACACCATCTTACTGACTTCCCTCACAACTATAATGACAAGTAGTCAGTTTAGCTGATTTAGCAGAGAACCCATTGGTAACATTTCTGAGACAGCATTTTCTGAGAAGCATGGAGATGGATCCAAGAGCGTGTGTAAAGTGAGAGGTACAGGCACTTTTATACTCAGCATGGGATTGCCAGTTCTCTGGCAATTGCAGAGTCAACCATGGATACCTTTGATTTTTCTCTTTTCTGGTTTATAAATGCCATGACACTTAAATTAGTTGCCTAGATACTCCATTAGCTAAAAGATAATGTCCTCAATTCCACTGGCTAATTCTGGTCTTAATAGACCAAACAGCCTGTGCCATTTGTTTTATCACTGATTCTAGGTGGTGGTCCTTCCTCAGCTTTTGAGGCACAGACGAGCTGGGCTTGAAGGACACCTGCTCTCATAGTGTGTTTAGAAGCAGAAGGTGCTTTGGAAGGGTGCATGTACCATGCCCTAACTCATCTCTGAGTACTGTTCATGGTGCCAATGCCTCTCAGCTCCTGTAGGACAGCAGTGCATAGCTTTTTAAAACTCATTACCAACAAGTGCTATAGTCAATTAGGTCAAGCATGGCACAGTCTTAAGTACAGGAAAATTAGACCCACAAACACAGAGGGCAAGACGGAATTTATGTGTAGCTGGGGGTGTGTTAAAGGTTTGAGTTCCCTGTTGTATCAAACAGCAAAGGGAATGGGGTGGGGGCTTTGCTCAGCTGAAAGCAAGTTCTTAGGAGAGAGCTCAAAATAGTGCCCATTTACAAACTAATATAGAAGTACTTTTTCTAGATCCCAAAGCAGAAATTGTGAAAGTTTCAGGAATAATTGGCAAATAGAACAAGGAAGACTCTGATTCTCCTTCCATCCACCAGTCTGTACAGACCTGCTATACTTAAAGATGGCAGCCTTGCTTCTCCCAAGGTTATACAACAGCTCCAGCAACAGCAACATGCTTTTCCCACTGGGATCATTCTAAATTCTCAGCAACTGAGCCAGCTTAAGGCCCATCTCCACACACAGCTGATAGGTGTCCTAGTTATTTAACTTAGGTAGGTTTCTGGCTGAGGGCTCACTATGAACTCACCAGTCCTTCCACTTTACATCACAGAGAAAGCTACAAAGGCAACTGTGAAGAACCTTTCACACCAAGAATAAACACTTCCATGTGGGAAATAAGAAAATGAAGCTCCCCAAGAAATAGAGAGCCATTTTAATAAATGAGGAAAACAAGGAACAAATCTGGAGAAAAATTGTGGACATACATGTTTAATTACTTGCTAGATTAGTAGACGGAAAGATATAGTAAGCAGATGAAGACAAGGTTCATAAACTCAGGAGGGGCAGGTTACAATTAGGCCAAGTGAGGTTTAGACATTCAATAGACTACTTTTTAACACTGAATATAAAACCTTTTGCCACAAAATCAATGTATTAAACCTGGTTTTCAGAATTATCCAAACTTCCTTTTAAACATCATTTAATTTTTTAATACTTAAATATTTTCTTTAGCAAACATATCCAAAATACTAAGCTTCACTTTATAATTTTGTGTATGTACCAGAATAACCTAAACTGTTCAAGATACTGTTCTCTAAACTACAACAACAGCTTACGTATTTCTTCCCTTTAAAACACTTATCTTTTCACAATGTCATTCTCAAAGATATTCCATAGAGGGGCCAAGAGTACAGCTCAGGAAAAGAGGACATTTGAGGCCCTGGGCATGATCCCATCACCCCAAAAGGAGAGAAAATAAAGCTCAACAACAACAACAAAACTTATCAAACCCCTGTAAATTCTTCTTCACTTCTATTATAGTGCACGACTGTTTCATCTACCCCATAGTAGTCGATCAACTCGGTGAGGCTGAGTTTCTCATCATCCTCAGACATAACTGACTGCAGCTCATAGAGCAGCTGCTGGCTGCACTTCCTCCACTTCTTTATTAACATCTCCAACTCAGACAGGTTATTCTGAAACAGAAAAAATAAGTCAATAATCAGACAGTCCTGCATTTTAACTTACACCATCAAAGCAGCTAAAGTTATTGTCTAGCTTTAAAGGCTAATACTCCAGGGCACTACAACCTCTGGGCAAACCTTAACCTTGGGGGGAAAAAGTATTAAATTTGCATATTAAATATAAGAAACTGAAGTTCTCAATACACTTTTGTATTACTACTATACTTTTAAGATATAATGCTATGTTGTACCTTCCTAATTTTTACCTCAAACTGTTCTTTTTTTATTTTGTCTTTTTTTCCCCCCAGAGCTGAGGACCAAACCCAGGGCCTTGCACTTGCTAGGCAAGTGCTCTACAACTGAGCTAAATCCCCAACCCCTCAAACTGTTCTTAAAGGTGAAAATATTCAAGTTAAAAGTATTTTCAACATTTAGAAATAAGTTACCTCTTGAAAAGTCAAAAATTCAAAACCACTAATAAGATACACTATCCTATCATTTATTCCATGTTTCTGGGGAAGAATGAGGTGTTATATGGGTAAGAACTATCCAGATAAAGACGTCACCTCCTTCCAAACATCCAGGTTCTACTCAATTCAAACTATGGGAGCTGAAACCTAAAATCTGTGTTTTCTCAAATAAAACGCCTGACATTTTAGAGATACAAGATCACTACTAAAAGTACTTTATACTGTAATCTGTGGTCTATTTTTAGTTCTGTTCCCAGTGTACTTTCATCTAACAATTTATACTTCTAATTATGCTACTGGCTAGAAATTAAAGCCAAGAAGCTTCAACTGTGTACTGGACAAACGCTGAAGCTCTTAAGTTCTACCTCATTCTAAATCAATTACTTGTACTTCAGTTAAAGCTCCTGTAAACCAGGTTTCTGCTAATTTGGCTTCTTGTTTATCAACCAAAATGATTTCCAAATTCTGAAATTACTGCAATTTATGTAAAAATTATGCAATGGTTCTGAAATTCTTCTTACCTTTATTCTATACATTTTGACAAGTTTTAACCTCCGAAGAAGGTCTTCCTTCTCTTGAACCTGCTTTGCCAATTTTGCTTTTTCTTCCTTCAATCTTTCTTTAGTATTCTCATTCACAGACTCACTTTGGAGGGCACTGGATGACCCCGTATCAAGTGACTTAGATTTGCATGTATTTATATTCTCCGAGCTATCTTTTTCAGATTCATTGTCTATGTGTTTCAAACTCTCTTGGAACTTTGAACAGCTTTCCTCTTTTGAAGATGCTCCTGGTTCTGAAAAAATCTCATCATTTTCTTCATTCTCTACTTTAAGTCGCTTCACCACACTACAAAAAGGATGAGATGAAGATCTTGTTTTCTTTAATCTTTCTTTAAGTGTTCCACTCATAGGCTGAAAGACACAAAACATTAAAAATGTTAAGAAAACATTCTTTTGTTTGTTTTTCAAGACAGGGTTTCTTTATGTAACACTGGATGTCTGGGAACTAGCTCTATAGAGCAGACTGGCCTCAAACTCAGAGATCCACCTGCCTCTGCCTCCCGAGTGCTTGGATTAAAGACTGTGTCACCACTGCCCAGCTAAGAAAACATTCTTGAAGTAAATCTATTAGAAATAAAGACTTTACACTTCTATGGTAGGTACCCTGGGTGACTTTCTATCTCCACAAATCTCAAGGAAGCATTACCAATGTCTTTCTTTTCCAGAAGCTCCTTTAGTCTTACTTTAGCAAGGTTAACTTCCCAAAATAGGCCTGAGACACTTCTCCCAGTCATCAGGAGTGTTTGTTCAGCAGCTAGTATTTGCCTGACAATACTTCAAAACTACAGACTAGGAAAAAGACCTGCCACCAAAGACTTCCCCTAAGGAATAGTGTACAGATTCAATTTGAAAATTCTCAATAACCTGCTAAGAAACTCAACAAACTGAACTGATTCAAGAAGAAAATCTGGCAAAGACAGGAAGGCACAGGCTATACATTAATTCACACTCCAGTGTCCTTAAAACTGCCACTACCAGAATAGTTTGAAACACAGAATGGTGGTGGATATCAAGATTTTCATACTTGTTTTCCTGAACTATTTGTTTTGAGTGATGGTGGATTCTCACTCATCTCAGGAGTGTCAGGTAAAGCTGATGCTGAATCTGATGTGCTCTCCTTCTTGATGGATGCTGAATCTGATGCAGTCTCCATCTTAATGGATACTGAATCTGATGAGCTCTCCTTCTTGATGGATGCTGAATCTGATGTGCTCTCCTTCTTGATGGATGCTGAATCTGATGCACTCTCCTTCTTGATGGATGCTGAATCTGATGCACTCTCCATCTTGATGGATGCTGAATCTGATGCAATCTCCATCTTGATAGATGCTGAATCTGATGAGCTCTCCTTCTTGATGGATGCTGAATCTGATGAGCTCTCCTTCTTGATGGATGCTGAATCTGATGAGCTCTCCATCTTGGTGGATGCTGAATCTGATGCACTCTCCTTCTTAATGGATGCTGAATCTGATGCACTCTCCTTCTTGATGGATGCTGAATCTGATGCGCTCTCCATCTTGATGGATGCTGAATCTGATGCGCTCCCCTTCTTGATGGATGCTGAATCTGATGCGCTCTCCTTCTTGATGGATGCTGAATCTGATGCGCTCTCCTTCTTGATGGATGCTGAATCTGATGCGCTCTCCTTCTTGATGGATGCTGAATCTGATGCGCTCTCCTTCTTGATGGATGCTGAATCTGATGTGCTCTCCATCTTGGTGGATACTGAATCTGATGAGCTCTCCATCTTGATGGATGCTGAATCTGATGCGCTCTCCTTCTTGATGGATGCTGAATCTGATGCGCTCTCCTTCTTGATGGATGCTGAATCTGATGAGCTCTCCATCTTGGTGGATGCTAAATCTGATGTGCTCTCCATCTTGGTGGATGCTGAATCTGATGAGCTCTCCATCTTGGTGGATGCTGAATCTGATGGGCCCTCCATCTTGGGAGCAAACTCCCGATTTCCTTCTAAAAATGAAAAGGCATGGATGATGATCAAATTAACATCTCAACACACACCTTAATATTTATCAACAAAATTTTCTTTAGTGTACAAAAAACACCAAAAAGCCAGTAATTTCTTCCAATTATATATAGCTGTAATCTATTCTAATTCTTTTCGTAGTTTTTCATTTACCTCTCCACATGGGGAGTAGCAAGGTTTTGTTTTTATGACTCTCATTGTCCTTTCAAAATGTCTCCAAAAATTTGCACTTCAGGGAGGAGGGGAACTAACTTTACCTTGTCGAGAATTTTAATTTTTGTTATAATTTCGTAAATAAAAGCAATACAGCCAGAATAATGTAAACATCTTGAATCTTAAAAGCTTTGTACCTAGAACCAGGAATGCTCCAGTCCTGAGGCCTTACAGAAAGCAGCGTCTGCCCTGTTTTGGTTTACTAGGGTAGAAGCCTGCCCCGGCCCCATCTCCTCCTTCCTCCCCATCTCCTCCTTCCTCCTCCCCCACTCCTTCTCTGCCCCCCTCCCCAGCTCCTCCCCCAGCTCCTCCCCACTCCCCATCTCCTCCCACCCCAACTCCTCCCCACGTCCACTCCCTCTCCGCCCCCTTCCCGCCCCCACCACAGAAAGCCAAGTACCCCGACCCTCCCCCCGTCCCCTCCCAGGCCTCCCCACCCGCCTCACCACAGAAAGCCATCTAGCCTCGCCCCTCCCCCGTCCCCCCCACCACCACAGACGACCCTCTACCCCACAGAACGGGGAGGTCGCGCTCCCGCGGCTCCGGGAAGAGCTTCCCCATCAGCTCCACAGACCCCGGGAGGCCTGACGCTCACACCAGCCCCCGGGAGAAAGCACAATACCTTCATCAGCCATGCCCTCAGCAGCAGAACAACACACCCACAGCCAACGTAGCGGCCTCAGGAGAAGGACCTCGCCCCGGAGGCGGGGCCCCGGCGGAGGAGAGACGCGCGATTGGCTAGCCTGACCGCAGCGGGCGGATGTGCTTTGTCCAGCTCCGGACCGCGCGCGTGCGCAGAGCCGCGAGCCGCAGCCATGGGGCGGGGCCAGGCGGGGCCAGGCGGGCGCGGCTCGTGATTGGCAGGATCGGCCCGGCGCGCTTCAGGGCTCCACTCGGCGCGCGCGGCCGCCAGCCTGGGGGACGGCGTCCGGGGATAGACAACGCTAGACCTGCGAACCGGCCTGAGGGGGGCGCGCTTCCGCGGGCCACTTCGCGGGCTGCCTGCTCGTGCAGCCTCCGGGGGCGGAGGGGGGGCGGGGCACCGGGGGAAGCGCGCCCCGGGAGCCCCGCCCCCGCGCGCCCGGGAGCCCCGCCCCCGCGCGCCCCGGAGCCCCGCCCCCGCGCGCCCCGGAGCCCCGCCCCCCGCGCCCCCAGCTCCCTGGCAGTCAGTCGGGCCTCCGCGTTCCCCACGGCGAAGGCTTTTCCTCAGACGTGGCAGGGCCGGAAGCCGAGGGGCCCGGTCGGCTCCCTGCTGGCGAAGGCTGCCGTAGCGTTTTGTGGTTACGATGGAACGGTCTGTGAGGAAGCAGGCATGATGGGAATCCCGTGGGGCGTCTCCGCGCGGTCCCTGGCGATCATCTCCGGCTGGCCTTGCTCTCGCCCTTCGATTTGGGGCTGCGTCCACCCGTGCTTGCTTGGCTTCACATGTTTTGGTCAATCTGAGAACACGTGACCTAAGGAAGTTTATTATGGCGCAGGACAGCAATCGACTGGGTCGGTCCAGAATTCAGATGTTGGAGACCTAAGCCCCTTGTTAGACCCTGGGAGGCTGCCATCTTAGCCTAAAAACGCCCCTCGGTTTCCGGTGTTCGTGATGTTCTGTTGCTATGCAACGGCCCAGCGAACTAGCTTGGGTGGAGCCCTGAGGGTAGGGAAAGGCAGCTGAGGATCTTGTGAGTCACTTGGAAGTTTGTAATACACAAGGGACGACTCTCCTTACCAACGTCTGCTAATGGTGCCTTAAAAGCAGCCAGGAAAAAAGTGATTAGGCAGTCAGTTATAAATACAGAACCCAAAGAAACTTAATGAGGTAATTGATTAGGCCTGTAAATGTTGCAGGCAATTAATTGCCTCCATTCCAAGTCCTGGTACCCTGGCGATTTGGGGATTGAGTTTTTTCTTTGTGTTTTTTTGGTTTGGGTTTTTTTTTTCTTGTTTTGCTATGGAATGTAGTGGCCATGTATCTCTCAATTTGATGGTTTGGTAAAAGAATACCTCCTAGAGACAGGAAAATTAAATGATAATTTATGAGCGGCAGATAGAACAATTCAAAGTACCAAAGAAACATTTAATGTCTTTTTTTATTCAAGCATATTCGTCATTCCCTAATTGACGTAAAGTTATGTATCACAAGCTTTTATCCCTTACCTTTCTTCCAAAAGCACGGATTTTTAAAAAAATGATGCTATGTTCTCCAAAATTCCACACAAGCCATAAATACAAGAAAATTTGGAGCCTTCGCATATGACTATTAATAAATATCCCACTCCTAAATGTTTAGGAAACAAATTAACCTTACCGACTTTAGGACACCAACACCAGAATGTATGATTTTATGATACAGGTGTTACTCGCCAACTCACAGGTCACTCTACACTAGTTCTCTTTTTTCCTTGATATGAGTTGATCTCGCTGCAAAAAGCAGATTCACTTGCCTTGACACTGAAACACAATGCACATTCTGCATGTTCTCGATGCCTTGAGGCATAAGGGTGAGTTGTTTTTTATGAGTCTAAAATCAGCTGCACCCAAATCCTTTTGTTTTTACAACCTAATCTTAGAGCTGTGTTTTTGTTAGCTACATAAAAGAAAACAATATCTTGCCTTGCAAATGTTCTGACTTGTTTTTATGTGAAACTGCTGTATTAAAATAAGATTGGCCAAACTTTCAAAGTGCTTGGGAAAACCTGTTAGTTCAGAAATGTGCGTTTGCTGATTTTTATCTCTTCTGTGTGTTAAGTGCCAATGCTCTTCCCATATGTTTGTATTTTACTTACCATCCTCAATTTAGTGTCAAAGATATGGAATATGTATAAATTGCCCCTACTCAAATGGAGATGAAGCTCTGTGGTAAGATGCTTGCCTGTCATTCATGAGGCCCTGTTTGAACATTAGCCTGGAAAAAAAAAAAAAAACCTAATTAAAATTTTCCATTAAAGTTTCTATGTGTCTTTAGACAAATATTTCCATGACTTTGGTGATATCAAATCTATTTGCCTACAAAGCATTTAGTGTTTGTCACATAAGACGTTTGTATTTTCATATGAAATTTTCAAGTAGTAAAAGTGCTGCCTTATGAGCCAGACAACAAAGACTCCTTACCCTACCACAGAGAACAATGGGAGAAGTGTTCTAGGATTCAGGGATAATAGTAATTAATTTCATCCTAAGTCAGACTTTCTCTGTGTTTTTAAGTTTCTTCAATTCCCAAGGTTACTGTTGACTCCCTTATTATTCATCAGGGAGTGGTAAAATGTGTCTTCCATTCTAGCCTGTGATTACTGTTGATGGCATGATGACATATACCTAAATGGTAAATGTGTCTTCCATTCTTCTATGATTACTTTTGATGGCATGGTGACATATACCTAGACATTTATGAGTGCAGGAAAACAATAGTATATAGTCTTTCTTCCTCCTACCCCCTTCCTCTCTCTTTTACCCCATGCAACAATAAAGGTACCTTAAAGCACAATTAAAATTGGCAGTAAATTTCTTTTTATTTTAACCTTGAAGCTTTAGCATTTAAAAACAAAAACCTCACGTTAACTCAGGATAATTTATTTTATTTCATAGACTTTTCTATATTGACAAACATTTTGAGCCAGGCAGCAGTGGCACATGCCTTTAATCCCAGCACTTGGGAAGTAGAGGCAGGCAGATCTCTGAGTTCAAGGCCAGCTTGGTCTACAGAGAGAGTTCCAGGATAGCAAGAGCTGTTACACAGAGAAACCCTGTCTCAAAAAAAAAGACAAAAAAAAAAACCACCCCCACCCCCCAAAATTGTCTCATGAAGACACAGCTAGTATCTAAAGGGTTTTTTTTTCTTAAAATATCAACACTTGGAAAACTATGATTATAATCCATTTGTGTGAAGAATTGTATAAAATCCACAGGATTAAGTTGATATGTAGCACAAAAGAAAAATTCAGTAAAATTTCTTAACTATTTCCTGTGACATTTTCTTGTATGTAAATGGAAAAATACCTTCAAGGATGCTTGTCTAGGTTTCTCTTGCCCGTGGCATCTTATAGACCTATCAATGGTGTAGAGGGGTTCTATTGCTCTGTCAGTTCTCAAGTTTTCTGTTGAGGAATAATTGACTATGTGTTTCTTGTTCTTTCTCTGTTACCTAAAGATCTCATGGAGAATTTAAAAATGTGTGATTAATCTACTTTTAGAGATTTTCAAATACTCTATTACCAAAGGGACCTCTGTGAATATTTTTTTTTACTGTTCTTCAGCTATATTGATCATGAAGGAATTGTATTTTAAACCCCAAGACGAAAGGGTTCTTAGTTGTTTCTAGGCATCCCTAAATTTCTGCCTCACTAAGTACGGCAGGTACCTAGAATGAGGAGATATGATGATGAGAGTCGATGTTATTGCTCTGATGAAACCTTTCTAACACAGGCAACTGGGAAAGCTGCTGATAACCAAGGTGCAGAATAATGAACTGAACAAAAAACCTAAAGAGCTCCCTTCCCGTGAAGTTCCTGTTCTTTTAGTCTACAGGCTCTGGACTTTAGTCAAGTCCATTATAGACTAGAGAAGCAGAAGTGTCTGATTTACGCCTGGTACTGGGTGTGCTGTTCCCTCGGAAAGAGCGGCATGATTCAAGTTAGAGTAGCAATGGTGATGGAGGACGTGGGCTACGTGGGGTTGAGGAAAGGGGGATAGTGGCAGAAGAGAGAGACTATAAAAAGATAGAGAGGATAAAAGTATTGCTCAGGGCCACATCTTTCTCAGATCCTTTATTAACTCAGAAATGTCGCCCTTGAATTCATTTGAAGAAAAAAGGCATTAGGTGTCAGCAACTCCTTGAGCAACCGAACTTGTCTTATAATCATCTTTAACCACCTTGAAGTTGGAGAGATAGCAACTCCCATGATAATTTCACAGTATTGAAATCTGTTTGAAGTGCCGGTAAACATGTCCATTCAGTATTCTATCCTTGCCTCTCATTACCGTTTCAGTCCCGAGGGTAAAATCTTCTTGGGGACTTTTTTAGTTGGAAGAGAAAGCAAGAAATGAGAGTTAAGAGACCACTCTGCCATGTTTTAGGATCTTACTGCTGTTTGGCGTCTACTCTTCCACCCCGTGGCAAGCTTTGAAGATAAATATAGTACTGGATCAAACACGTGAATTTAGGTTAACCAGAAATTTTGTAGCATAATTCAGGATGGCAAGAGCTAAACTAAAACTGAATTTCTTTCCTACTGCCCTACCAGTCAGGAGAAAACACCAAGTCTCTACTGCAAAGACAAAATGTCTTAGATTTCTACCATCAGCCTTTATAAGCAGTGTCAAACGTGCTGGATGCAGAGCTCCTGAGGAGGCAGCAGAATTCCCAGTGGGGACCATTACAGAAGCATGACCAGATGCAGCCATGACTTCATTGGGCAGACGCACCTCTTCATCCATCTCTTTCCCGCTTCCAAGATTCCACTCATTGCTTTTGTTCCCTGCTCATCGTCCAAATCATATGACTTGTCAGTTAACTAGCTTTCTGACTCCGTTACACTTTTGTATAAATAACATACAAGTTTAATGATGAAGCTGATGGCCCATAATTGGTCTATGACTTCACTATTTTCTGATAGTGAAAAATATATCTTTGCATAGATAAATATTGTTGACACAAAAGCATAGCTCTCACCTCACAGGGAATAAGAGATAATTTATAATGGACCCAAATATGATGACAATTGCCTGGGAACATAGATTCAGGTTGCCCCAAATACCATGTTCCAATT